CGCCATGACAACATACAATATGTATTATGTCGACTTGTCAGTATAATCTATCTCGCCATGACAACATACAATTTTTACTATGACGACTTGTCAAGATAATCTATCTCGCCATGTCGACATGATAAGTATATTATGTCGACTTGACAACATAAATTATCTTGACAAGTCGTCTAGTCGAATGGCACTTAGGTGCTTCCGTATATTATGTATGAACTTTAGAAATACTTCAGTGGAGGAAACCAATTTTCAACATATTCTTATATAAATTATATATAGGCCTATATATGTATTAAATATGTTTAATTCTCAGATGGCTTTAGACAATCCCCGACGATAAATCGCGTCGGGCTGCGTCGTACGACGCTGTCAGAGTTGGCCTTAACACAGATGCACAATAGTAGGCCTATTAGATTTTGATAGGCCTACCTCTTTTACGTCTCGTCTTGAACTTTTTTTTTGTTTCTAGTGGAGTTGCATTGTAACTTTGTCGTCTCGGTTCTACAAACTTTCTTATCGTGCTACTAAACTGTTGATCACTCAGCAACATATTTTTGCACGTGGATCCCGACTCTGGATTTAGTTTGAACGTATACGCCCTGTGGTCAATCTTAGGTTTCTTAGTTGACACCGTACATTCATAAAATGTTTTATTTAGTTTGTCTTCAAATATCTTTAAATCGGTTTTAAAGCTTGGGCCGTAATCGGCAACCTTCTTCCAAAACGTGGCGTTGAAGAAATCGTATAATTTTACGTCTGCGAAATTCCATTCACGTGACTTCGTTTTGAGGCTATCAGAGAGTTCGAACCTTAGGCTATTTATTCGGAGTCCTTTAATAATGTACAGAATATCGTCAAAGTCCCAACACAAGATTGTTTTAAGTAAAAGTAGAGACTCGTTAAAATATTCTTGCAATAGAACCACATCAAATTCATGTGATAACTTGTCGATATACGACTTGACTTGAGTTAAGTTTGATTGTTGAGACGGTTCGACTCCTAAATCATATAAGGATGGGTTTTGTAAATAGCTTCGCATCTTGAACTTCGGGTATTTATCCATATACAACTGTGGTTGGGATATGAACTTCTCAAATGCGTTTGCCCCTTTCGATAAATTTAAAGGTTTAAATAGTTGAAAGTATCCGAACACCGATTCCGCCTGTGTTGCTGGATCACGTAATATGGTGATGTATTTCGTGCCTGGTTTCATAACGGCATCCATCTCTTGGCGGTTGTAGCGAACATGATTCACCAGCATATCATACTTTCCAGGATTGACGTTACGTCGGTTGAATAAGCCAGAACTAATCACGTGACCTTTTTTTGGAATTACAAAACTTAAATTCCGCGTGAATCCAAACCTTTGAAATATCGAAGTCATCGTTGAACTTCCGGTTTTGTGAGTTTTTAAGAAAACAATACGAGTCGATGGTTTACATTCATTTGCATTGCCTTCATTATGTATAGTTTGCGCTTGATCCTTCGCAATTTTATAAATAGAATCACCTTTAGTATATTTTTCTTCAACGCAGTTTATCGCATTGGTATTTTTTATTTTTGTTAATATCATATTTATTTTTTTATAATTAGTTGTGGTATTGTTCGCATGAGCATGACCTCCTAGCAAAACTGTATTGGCTCCGATAACATTCCTCTGTTTCAGGGGTAGAGTGCCATTGGTTTTGTTGGTTCTACTGTTACTATACGCACAAACAGAGTCACTGAAAAGAGAAATACATACTGTAAAAATATATTTGTGACAACTAGCTTCCACAAACAACTAGCTTCCACAAACAAACTCAGGAGACCAATAGTTGTGTGTCAAATGTCATATTGATAATGAAGCAAAATGGGGCAGCACCCCCTTCTAATTACAATGAAAAACTATGAGGATAGTGCTGCCCTAAAACTAAATTAGTTAAATAATCTGCCTTACACTATTCTAAATATTTACCTCTTCAAAATATATGATTCAAATTAAATTATTAAGACAAAAAGGTACTTTGAGTTGGTAAAAAGGTCGAGTACTTTATTAATTATAAACATTATAAATCAAAACAGTTTTTAGACGTACTGTACAAAATGGCAAGAGAAATAATATAAAATATATAAATAATTGTAAATTACTGATAATGGGTGCCAAAAGGCCTCTTAGAACTTAACTTAGGCGAAGCATGGGTGTATGGGGGCCATCGCAGCAAACAGTCCATGTTAAAATCAAAATGTAATTGCAAAATTCAATGTCTAATTAATCAAGACATAGGTATAATTTCTCAAAATGTAGGTCTAGTTTCTCAAAACGAAGTTTTTCAAAACGTAATTCAAATTCAAAATGTAGGTCTGATTAATCAAGCGCCCTCTCCAAATTCTGTTCCAAAACGTAAATAAAAAACCAGCCAAGCATGCTCATGACTGGTTTGAATTACGCTTTACAACACCAGCTAGACTAGACTTGCCACAAGTCTCTTATTTTTTTTATTATTTTTCTCATTCTGGACAGCGCCACCAACGAGAAAGTTAATTTAGAGCAAAGATCTTATAAACACAAGATAGCGTTCTCCGCGATATACGTACGTGTGAAAATTCTGTAATAAGGCATGAATGGCGCCCTCTTGCTAAATTGGAAACTTTTGACCCTTGACCGCTCTGATCTGACCATACAGTACACCGCCTGTGAACAGCAGAACAGGAACCATCTCAGATCCATGGCAACCGATAGGACGCCCTCTCCCAAAACTTATTACTTTTTCTCTTCGGTAATAGCGCATGAATGACGCCCTCTTGCTAAATTGGAAACTTTTGACCCTTGACCGACGCTTCTATTTGTTACGCGTAAATCGCGGAGAACGCTATCTTGTGTTTATAAGATCTTTGATTTAGAGATAGACGGAATTCGAAAAAAAAAAGAAATCGAGTATGGGACGCCAATTAAATTAGGTATGGCGCGCACTAAGTGCAATAAAGAGTGAGTAACCTAAAATTAGGGCATGGAACCCAGGCTACAGCTAGACATGCGAAATGTAAATCAAAACTAGCCAGCCAAGCATGACGGGGCCCGTTCCATTAATGATGGGGGAATAAATTTTCGTATTTTTTCAAAATGTAGAACTACATTTGGAAAATTTGAACTACGTTTTGAAAAATTAGAACTTCATTTTGGTAAACTATATCTACATTTTGAGAAATTTAAGCCTACGTTTTGATAAATTAGACATTGAATTTAGCAATTACTGTACATTTTTATTTTAACAAGGACTTTTACTGCGTATGGCACCCCATATGGGTGGAGGTGGCCAATTATTTGCAGGGAAATTGAATACTGTAATGCACTCGTTCTAAAGCTTTGTCTACACTATCAAATTTCATCAAAAAAGCATCACATAAAATTTGATGGAACATAGAGTTGAACACGTTCAGCTTTGTTTGATATTTGATTATATGTGATATGACGTCATCGTACCCATATATTGGCACATCACATTTTTTGTCACATAAAATTTGATAGTGAAGACAAAGCTTAAGGCGACTAAGATGCAAAGACCGCAAATCAAGTCAAAGCTCCAACCCACGCTTGACTGTGTAAATTGTTACGTAATAAGGTTACCACCCATTAAATCAGGATTACGCCTGTCAGAGAAATCTGTGAAACACAGGGTTGGCACCAGGATTGCCGACGAAAAAATGGAGCGTGGTCGGGCGTCGCTCAAAATCTCTCGAAAGTGTTACAGGGCGATTCTATATTAGAAAGTCAAAAAGTGGTCAAATCAAATAATGATCAAAAACATCTGCTTTTAGGTGAATTGCATAACTAAATAACACAGTATTCAAAACAATCAAGTTTTTCATGAAAATTATCGGAAATGTTGTATTTTTTTAGCCATTTTATACAAAAATGATGATTTCAGAGATGGCGCCAGGAATTCCCCGACGGAGGGGTTCAGCTCCCCAACAAGGTGGTCCACGCTCCCCGACAAGGTCAGAAATGGCATTTCCGGTCATTTTTTAGCAAACTCATTTATTAGACCGAATAGAAACATGAATGTTCCGAACAAATTGACACCAAAATTAACTCTCTATCACCAGTGGTTGTGTAGATATAAGGACCATATGGCTATGACCTTGAAACTTGTCAAAGGTCATAAATAGCATTTCCGGTTATTTTGTAGCAAAATGTTTTATTAGAGTAAATAGAAATATGCATGTTCCGAACAATTTAGCACCAAATTTAACTCTCTACCACCTGTGGTTGCGGAGATACAAGGACCTTATAGCTTTCACTCTTTTGATTCATTATGGAGTTCTGGGAATGTTAATCATGATTTGTGTTGAATATGGTATTTTTTTTATCGCGATAGTGTACAACACCTCGCACATACGGAAAATTGTATTTTCGGCAATCGCAATTTCATTTTCCCTGACGACCTTACTGGAAATTCCCCGACAGGGGGATCCGAAGGTCTCCGACGGGGGTCCTTTGCTTCCCTGGACCCACCGCTAGCGCCGCCCCTGGATGATTTTCTTGGTTTTTGACTATTTTCAAAATATTATTCATTTTCCTATTTATTTACTAATAGATTGACTATACACAGTTGTTAATGTTACCAGTCAACATGATGAAATATTATATAAGCCAACATTCAGTTCTGTGACTTTATTTATTGCGAAGTATTTTTGTTTGATGTTTTTTTGAGATGGTGATTTTTCGTCGTGTACCGTACGCCACATACAGTAAACCTAGACGTCTGAAAGTTAGCCCTAAAACCAAATTTTAAAAGATAAATACTTTTAACTTCAGATCCTCTGCTTTTAGTCTATAAATAATGTTAGAGGAAATTTATGGCTTTTTTTAAATAAATTAATTTCCAAGTAATTAGCCTATTAATTTTGTCCTGTAGGCCACATGCTGTGGCGTACGGGACATGTCTGTACGCCACACCATGATATTTTGTTTTAAACACATATCTGCTATAACATAATTTATTTAAATTTAAATTAGAATTAATACTATGAATATTAATATTAGTCCAATTACATGTACATCCACTATGTACTATAATTACAAGTGAATGCCCATATATTCAAGTACTCAAAATCTCA